GGCTCTGTGTTAGAAGCCTCCTAGGCACTCTGAACACCACGACCCCACCAAGGCGTCCCAGTGCTGCCCCTGACGTCACCCTGTGCTTCTCAGTGTCCGTGTGGGGTTCCCGGCCGGGGCTGTGGCCTTAGGCTGTTTCATTCCTTTCGGTTTGGTTCTTCAGCTTTACTTTTTAGGAGATGGCAAATTTGTTCTTAACCTGTTTACTCTTTGGTCAGTCTTTTGAGTTGAGAGCCTACTGTGTGAGGAGAAAGAGTAAGGGCCAACAGGAAGCAGTTCGAGGCCACCCCTATGCCATAGGACACCTGGTGAGCAGAGCTGCTTACTCCTGCCCGCACCCCCAGTTTAAGCCCCAAGCTAGGGCTTAGCACAATACAACTTTGCCAGGCTTTCCACTGGGATCAAGAGAACTGGGCCTGGGTGGGCTTGGCACAATGGCTCAATTGGCCACTTTCCGTACAGCTCTCTGCTTGTGACCTAGGAAAGCAGCAGAGGATGGCCCAAAGCCTTGGGACCCTGCACCCATGTGAAAGACCAGGAAGAGGCTCTTGGCTGCTGGCTTCAGATTGGCTCATCCCCAGCCAGTGTAGCCACTTGGGGAGTGAACTAGAAGAAGGAAGGTCTATCTTTCCAGTAAAAATAAATAAATTTGAAAGAAAAAGAGAGAGAGAGAGAGAATATGAATGAATGAATGAATGAATGAATGAATTGGGCTTGGCTCATCAGTCCCAGGGATTCAGGACTCGGGGTGGCAGATGGAGCTCTCAGAATCCCTGGGACCAGGGAGTCATGGGAGCCCTCCGCAAGCTCCTCCATGGACAGTCGTGGTCCGGGGTTTGGAAACTGGAGTGTCCTGTGCTGTGCTTAATGGGTACAGAATTGCTCAGCGTGTGGCACTTCTGGTGTTTGATTGGATAATTGATTTCCTTCATGAGCATGTGAAATGCTGTAATCACCACCACATACCCACTGCTCTGTCATCTGCAGTCATCTGACGGAGGAAACCCCCTGAGCTGTTGCCCTCAGTGTGTCACTGCTCTCTTGTTGGTTACGGGGCCCTCTCCTATCTCTTTCCAACTGTGGTGTAGCTATAAAATTGATTTGTAGCTACAATGACCTAAGACGCAGAAGAGATGTAAGGATGCTGGAAATATCTACTGCAAGGCCTACCCAGTGAGCCCAGGCTTCCTGTAATGGTCGCGTGACCTGATGCTCCACCTGTCGTTTGCATTCCTGTCCGTGAACTGTGCAGAATCGAAGCATGCTCCCTCGGCACCCGGATCGGGCCTCCATGGCCTCTTCACGAAGCCATTCCTTATTTTCTGTTTGCTTCAGAAAAGGCCATAATTTGCCACTATAAAAAAAAGTGAGAATAATTACTTGGGTATCTGTTTATATCTCTGAATGCTGACAAGAACAGCTTGCTTTATACCTGAACATTCACATACTGCTCTACCCTGCGACCTTCGCGCTGTCCTCTGAGGGTCCCTCACGTGGCCTCTGGCTAGTTCAGTGACCAGCTCCTCCCGCCCTCCCTCTGTCATTTCCTGTCTCGGGTGGTTCTTTGTATGGCTTTGACAATTATATACCCTTTTATCTGTCTTGCCCTGAAAATTTTACCTATTATTTCCCTGCAGTTATCAACCTTTTATAATTCTGGTATAATTCTTATTCTTTTCTACTCATTTTTGTTGATAGTTGTGTACTTGTCACTTAAATTCCTCTTTACATTACACACAGTCTTCTTGCGTACAGGCGTGAATTGTGCCAAGCAGTGTTTCAGGCTTGGAAGACCATGCCAAAAGCAAGATAAAACTCAAACATCCCAGAGTTTGCGTCTTAACGAGGCAAGAAGTAAATAATGCATCCAATGAGAAGATTAAACTGAAGAAGGCAGGCAGGAGAAAGGGGGGCGTGGGAAGGCAGAGATGACATACTGGGCTTTCCAAGCAGGAGGGGTAGACTAGGGATGCAGGATGGGGGGTGAGGTGCACACAGGCTAGTGCAGCCACCAGCAAGCAAGCCAGGCCCTCCTGGGAGGGCACCGCACCAGACGTCCCAGCAGAGGGAAGAGTGGTACCAGCCGGGCAGGCAGAAACTGCAGCTGGAATCACTGAGAACTCTGTGGACATTCCCCTGAAAGCTGGAAGCAGAGCATCTTTAAACACGCAAATATCTTAAAAAGGTCATCGAAAATTAAGAAATATTTTGGTACCAAAAAAAGTTATGAAAGTTTTCATATATCCATTTCATAAAAACCAGACTTGAAATGAGAAAAAGGGTGAGAGAGAGAGGGAGAGAGACCTTTCTTCCCCAACTCTCTCCCCGTGTGGCTGCAGTGCCTGGGCCTGGGCCAGAGCCGGGAGCCAGAAGCTTACTCCCCCGTGGGTGCCGGATGCCCAAGCCATGTGCCATCTGCTGCTGTGTTCCCAGGCATGACAGCCAGGAGCTGCGCCATGAGAGGAGCAACCCACACAAACTGGCACCCATTTGGGATGCCGACCTCAACAAGCAACATCTTCACCCATTATGCCACAGTGCCCTTTGTCAGCTTTTTGAATACCCACTCATATGCATGGATTTCAATGTTTTATGTATATCAAAATTATCTTTCAATTTTACTGTCCAGAAACCTGTTAAAGTACAAATAAAAAGAAAGTACAAAAAAAGAAGAAAGAGAAGTCGAGTGTTTTGGCTTCCTGGGATACCTTTAATCATAGTAGGAAGAAGTTACAATTATATATTAGATATAGGAGTTTGCATCTGGAATATATGAAATATTTTGTATCTCTATTAAAAAAGACAGTTCAATTTAAAAACGGCCAAAGTTTCAAACACACACTTCTGCAGAAATATATCCAAGTGGCCCGTAAAACATGAGAAGATGCTCAACATGATGAGTCATCAGGAGAATACACAGCAGAACCACAGCATGTAGCATGGCAGCCCCTGGGCTGGGCATCGGCAGAGGCTGGGTGGCAGCGAGCGCTGGGGGCACGTGCAGGAGTGAGAACCCTGACTCCTCACTGGAGCGTTGGAAAACAGCCTGGCAGTTGCTCAAAAACATGAGAGAGTGTTCCCACGTGAGCCTGCAGCTCCATGCCGGGTATGTGTGCAACACAACAGCGGGTGTGCTAAGCGAGAACAAGAGGGCGAGAGGGGTGATTCCACACAGGAGGGCAGTGACTGCAGTGAAAAGGCAGACGAGTGGCTGGTTGGGTCCTTGCAGGAGCTGGGACCTGGCAAGTGACCAGCATTAGGACCAGAGTGTTTTTGGGGTGGTGGGTGATAAAAGTCTCCTGGAATTAGATGGTGGTGATGGTTACATAATCTCATAAGCATATTGAAAACCTCGGAATCGTAAATGTTTTAAAAGGTTAAGTTTTAAGGTATGTAAGTTACAGTTATTATAATAGACTGTTATTAAAAAGCAGTAAAAAAAAAAAAATGGTGCCGGATCTGCCTTGTTACCTTTGAAAGCTTGTAAGTGGAACACAGAGATTTCTGCTTAATTCTGTTGCTGCTCGGCGAGCCTCGTTCCCAGGCCTACATGCCCTGAGCTCACGGGATGAGTCAGCTCCACGGGCACTGCCACCAACCTCCTGGAATACCAGGTGCATGTACAAGTCCACGGCTTCAGGGCCAGCAGAGGCCCCTCAGAGGGCAGTGAGTAACCCAGCCACAGAGATTTTCAGTTCAGTTATTTTAGAGGATTTAATATTAGGATACTTTGTTGTGTGTGCATGTCACTTAAGGAACAAAGTTACCGCCTTTAAAAACAGTGTGAGCAGGTATAAACTGTGTGTGTGTTGTCTCAACACCTTCTTGCTGTCACTGCCCTGCCCCGAAGCAAGCAAACCCACTGTGATCTGCTATTGTCGTTCTTGTGCATCAGTTGAAAAAGAGAAAGCAACATAATCTTTTAAAAATCGGCTGCGCTCAAACTAACCTCTGCAGAAACATCAGTTGGGATTTAACGAAAGTGGGGATTTGCAAGGGTTTGTCCCCAAGAGGTTGGTCCAGTCTGAATTTTTCAGAAGTCTTCCAGATGATTCCATGGCTTAGGGTTTTGTCCTGTGATGAACCGTCTTAGGGACGCAGGCCTAGCGTGAGGAGCCACTCTAAGGACAGTTGATGGGCAGGGTGGTATTTCCCGGCCGCTCCTTATTGGAAGTACGTGACACCCAGACTCGCACTGTGTGGTTGGGATAGTGGTGTTGTTGCAGGAATTTTGACTCCGAGTATGGCAGCAACCTCAAATTCTTGTCTCGCAGGAAAGAAGAATTTTCATGCGGACGCAGTTTAGTTTTAAAGCAAGATTTATTAGAAAAGTTGAGAAGAGAAGACTCCCGTCCTAGTGACGGGAGGGGGTTTTGAGATAGAAAAGACCCTTACCTCCTGCCATAGTGGCAGGAGGAAAAGGACCTCAGTGCTCTGCCATAGTGGCAGGAAAATAAGAACCCTAGTCCTCTGCCATAGTGGCAGGAGGCAAAGAAGAAAAACCCGAATGAATGGTGGGGAATGCACCTTTTAAAGGTTTCCCTCAAAGATGTTTCTCCATAAACAAAGAAAATTCCTAGTTTCCATGGTACCTGGCCTTGGGACAAAAGGCCACAGAGGTGCCAGACCTAGGACATTCCAGGCCTTGGGCAGATGTGTATTACTTCTTCCTGCTCTCCTTTCAATGATAAAGAGATCGGCCTGAGACCCTCCCACAGTGGCCGGAGGTAATGGCCGATACTTCTGGTGGGGAATTGATATGCTAATAGCACCACTGTCCCTGGGAGAGTGAGTTCAAGACATGGTGGGGAAATTCTCTTTTACTCAGGGACCCAGAATACCCTAACTGCCTACTACCCACTCTAACTCCTCTCTCAGTGTCTCCCTGCCAGGGTGCCGTGTCACACACAGTGCGTGACATGGCAGCCCTCGTCCGTCCTCCCCTCACCTCTGTCACCTTTGCTCTCTCAGGCAGCCCTGTCTCTGCCCTCTTCCTGCAGATTTCCTTTGACTTGGCTGAGTACACGGCGGACGTGGACGGGGTCGGCACTCTGCGGCTCCTGGATGCCATCAAGACCTGTGGCCTTATCAACTCCGTGAAGTTCTACCAGGCTTCCACCAGTGAACTTTATGGGAAAGTGCAAGAAATACCCCAGAAGGAGACCACCCCGTTCTACCCGCGGTCGCCCTACGGTGAGCCTGGCCCGTGCCCAGCTGTGCGCACAGAACCGCTGTGGGCGGAGGGAGTGTGTTTCTGCTTTCTCGTTCTGTTCATGTCTTCTCCCGGCTGAAGTCATTGGAGTGTGAGATCAACGCCGAGATAGGCTGCAGTGACCAGACTTGTTGAGAAGCATACCTTCATCCGTTGCTAACTACAAGTATTTGCTGCCATCGCCTCCAGGGGGGAATTAGCACCTCGCTTCACCAGTCGGTGCTCACTCAACCTTTCCATGCAGATCACTTTAAAAGCAAAGTTAGACCCAGCCTGAGCCTTTTTCTGAGCTATTGTGAGATTTGCTGAAGTGATAAGGCTTCTAGGATACTTTTTTAAAATTTCCTTGATGAAAACTCCCTGAGCTCACTATTAAAAAAAAAAAAAAAGAAATGTAAATCTGTCATATGTAATACATTTGTAAAGAGAATATTCATGAAGGCTTCAGGGGTGCTTTTACAGTAGCTTGCCTGTTAGGGCCCCCATTTTTTCCCCCCTCTATATTCCTTAAAACTAAAAGGCAGGAATGACATAAAGCCCAAAACATGGCAGCTTGCTGTATATTCCAGACAATAGTGGTGAATCAATTAAATGCTGAAAAAAAAGAACTGCGAGATTCCAGAAAGAAGACATCGCAGATACTTTCCTCTGAGCGTGATTAGCCAATGGCCATTTAGTCCTTGGCCTTTGATTCAAAACTTTTCTTCCTTTTGCTATATCATAAGCTACGATACTTACAAGTTATTAATTGCTTAAGTCGATTAAAAAAAAAGACACTGTCCTTTGTAAACAAACCACATTTGCTTTTAAACATTGTTCCAATAGGGGCAGCCAAGCTCTACGCCTACTGGATCGTGGTGAACTTCCGGGAGGCCTACAACCTCTTCGCAGTGAATGGCATCCTGTTCAACCACGAGAGTCCCAGAAGAGGTCAGTGACTGTGGGCTTTGACAGGAGATGCTTCAGCCTTTAGAATATTTACATTCACCATCGGCAGCAAGTTGGAAGTACATATTCTTCATGTGTGCTATGCATTGACATTCCCTACCCCATGAATAGATTTTTTGCACTTGATCTTAGCCAAAAGGCCAAGGAGTGATGGATAGATTTTCTGAATGTCAGGCGTGCTAAATGAAGATATTGAAGTCCGTCTTTGAGAGTTGTAGTAAGTCTGTGGGGGGGGGGGGGCAGGAGAAACTGAACTGCATCCTGATTTGGGCCACTTGTCCTTGTAGGTCTTAGCTAACATTTTTCCACTGTGATGTTAAGAAGTTTCCATGTGCATATAAGAGATTCGTAGTAGTTTGTTGATTGTTTCTGGAAGTCAGTGCTCGTTGTGAAGATTCAGTTTGTGGAATCTGAAATAGTTTTTACTTTGAGTTAGTTATATTATCTAGTATTCTTACTTTACCTTACACTAGACAGACACACAGAGGTGTTATGTTTCTTAGAGTGTATTTCAGAATAAAGAAGAAACAGTTGGGTTTTGAACTTTAGCAGTTTTCTTCCAGAAGTTTGTATGCGTTGGCCCTGGCTTGTCGCCTTTTCACACATGCTGTTGACACTGTTCGCCACTCTCCCATTCTCATACTTAGTTTTAAATAAGAAAATGTGGACTTTGATCAATACTTCTTGTTTACTGATCTGTAAGTATATACAGTCTTATAAAGTAAAAATTATCTGCATAGTCAAGAAGCTTTATTGAATTTCGCTATCATTTAGTCTTCTGGTGTGAGGATAAATGAGACATCCAATGTTAAAAGTTGTTTCACACCCAACAACTAGTCATCCTGACATGACTAAATGGCCACCTAATTAACCCAGCAAGTCATGAAGAAAGATTAAAGTGACAGGTTTATAAAGGTATCGTTAGCGTCAGTACATTTTTTATTTTATAATTGCTTGAGTTAAAACTTCCCATGATGCATTCTCAAGGCATACGAGCCCAGCAGCTAGAAGCATTTCTCTGCTTACTGTTTTGGTTGGGGTGGTGTCTGTGCTAGGGAAGGAAGATCTGAGCTGGCCCTGCCTGCAGGATGTGGGGTCCAGGATCCCCACGGAGTCTTTTCAGTGGGCAGTAACCCCTGGCTTTTCTCATAAGCATGCTTCTGCGTGTCCCCGTCCCCACACTGCCGCCATCCTACCTGCGAGAAAGCAAATGCATGTTGGTGTGGACCTGGTTCACACAGGGAAAGGCATTCTTGCTTGTAGAGTAGAAGAATAAGTTTCAGCATGACTTCCTCCTTGATTCTCTGTGCAACTCTCTCTCTAAATCTGCCTTTCCAATAAAAATACATCTTTAAAACAAATTTCAAAAGTAGAGATTCATAGTTACAGTCATTTGATTTTTTTTTTTTTTAATTTAAAAGGTAGAGAGGAAGCAGAAGAGATAAAGAGAAGTTTTTCTAACTGTGCTTCACTCTCTGAATGCTTGAATAACCAGGGCTGGCGCAGGCCAAAGCTGGGATCCTAGAACTAGTGTGGGACCCAATACTTAGCCCACCATCTGCTGCCTCCCGGTGTGTGTGCCAGGTGGAAGCTGGGCTGCAAGGAGAGTAGCAGGGGCTTAAGCAGCGACTGAACACCCGACCATGTGGTCTACTATCAAGTGGGTATTCTTTCATTGATTTTATACATATGCAAATTAAAGCTTAAAAACTATGTTGACATAGTGACAGATCAGTCTGACATACTTTAATAAATGGGACAGATTAATTTTCATTAAATTTGTATACCCACAAATTGCTGTGACATGTTAGGTGACTTTGCTTTCTAAAATTGGTTCAGTATTTAAACACCAGTCTAGTTGCTGTCCTTGCAGTGTTGGACTTGGTGCACAGAGATGATAATAACACGCATGTACTACACGTGAGATAGCCCAAGTTTATTAGTGGCATCAGGCTTTTATAGACTGAGGGTCACAGAGGATAAGGGAGGAGGGATTGAGGCGCTTACATAGTTCCCATACACCTTCCTGTGGAACCTCGACTGTCCCCACAGCCTTGTTTGGAACCATCTTTTGTTTTGCACAGTGCATCAAGTGTCCCTATACAAGTGATATCCTATCTGTTGGCATCCTGTATTCTCCGTCCTTCTGTGAATCACAATGTCCTTCTACATCAGGCCACAGATGCCCTGTAATCAAAGAGGAAAAGACGGTGTTTTTTTAGATGGGCCAGTGGTAAACCTCAGCTTAATCCAAGGTACACAATCAGAAATGCCCAATTAGTAGGGTCAATGTTAATGTAATGTTTTGAGAATACACGGTTTGTTGTCCAATGAGCAACAGTTGGCAAGATCTGTCTTGTTTGTATGAGTAACGTTTTTTGTTTTTAAGATTTATTTATTTTTATTGGAAAGGCAGATATACAGAAAGGAGGAGACACTGATAGGGAGATCTTCCATCCGCTAATTCACTCCCTAAACGGCCACAACGGCCAGAGCCAAACCAATCCGAAGCCAGGAGCTGGGAGCTTCTTCTGGGTCTCCCACGCAGGTGCAGGGTATCGAGGCTTCAGGCCATCCTCGACTGCTTTCCCAGGTCACAAGCAGGGAGCTGGATGGGAAGTGGGTCTGCTGGAATAAGAACTAGTACCTACACGAGATGCTGGTGTGCAAAGTGAGGACTTTAGCCATTAGGCTATCACTCCGGGCCCGCATGAGTAACATTTTATAATAATGCCTGTCTTTTAAAAATGTGGAAGATTTTCTTTTACTATAAAGATATTCTAAACAAAAGGTTGAGGAACACTGGCTTGTAGACCAAATCATGCCCAGCAACCTGTTTCTGTAAATACAACTACCCTGGAACACAGCCAGACTCACTTGTGTACATATGGCCTGTGGCTGCTCTCACACTGCCGCATCCTGGAACCTGCACAGCCTAAAATATTTACTGTCTGGGCCTTGAAGAAAGCAGTTGTTGGTTCCTGCTCTGGACATTTTAATTCTCAACATCCAAGAACTTCCAGCTGGGGTTAGAAAGATTTTTGGGTGCCAGCATTGTGGCACAGTGGTTTCAATTTCTGCCTGTGATGGATGCTGGTATACCATTTGGGTGCCAATTTCCTGTCCTGACTGCTCCATGCCCTATCCCATTTCCTGATAGTGTGCTTGCCAAAGCAGTGAAAAATGGCCCAAGTCCCTGGACCCTCCTACACCTGTGTGGGATATCCAGAAGCGTCTGGCTCTTGAATTCAGTCTGACCTAGCCTGGCATTCTATCCATCTGGGAGTGAACCAATCGATGGGAGATTTCTTTCTGTGTGTCTCTTCCTCTCTAACTCTGCCATTCAAATAAATAAATCTTTCCAAAAAAAAAATCTCCCCAAAATGTGATGGTCTGAGTTGATAGTGACCAGTCCCTCCGTCCGCAAAATCCCTGAAGTCAGTTGAGGCTCTGTCCACTGCCCTGGCCGTTATCCTGAAGTGACAGTGCTAAAGGAAGTGCTCGCGCTCTTCTTTCCTTCCTCCGCTCCTTCATTCCCATCGGACAGCCAGAGCAAGCAACCTGCACCCTTCTAGCCCGTACAGTAAAGGTGTGCAATGAGGTGTTGGCAGGTGAAACTTGGAAGTTGGCAGGTTCATCCTGAGGTCCCTTGGGGGTGGCGAGAGCCCAGTGTATGAACCATCCCCTTAGTGGGAAGCCGGAATCAGGCACTAGAATTGGCATCACGATGTAGGATGTGGGCATCCTATTTGCTTTTAATATCTGCTCTGCTTTTCTTTCAAGACTTTTCGATTTTCTTTTTAAATATTTTGTTATGGGACTTCATTACCTATCTAGAGATATTGTTAGATATTGTTACCATGAAATTAAGTCTGGGAAACCATTTATCTTGTTAATAAAGACAGTAATCTGGTTTGGCCTTTTGCTTTCCTCCAGCAGCTGGGGCACAAGCCTGTGCCCATTTAGAATCCTGGCATGTACAAGGTGAACATTTAGTCACTAGGCCATTGTGCTGGGCCTTAATTTACATTTTTTCTATATAATAAAAAATATTTTACTTGTTATTTAGAGGCATTTGATTTCTTTGAGGGAATTAATGTGCATAAAAGTGAGAATACCTATAATTGTTCAACTGCATAGTGTAAGCATTTTAGTGATTATAGCTTTATTCATTACATGTTGGTGTGCTATAAATAAAAATTCTTTTTTTTTTTTTAAAGATTTATTTTTATTATTTTTTCATTGGAAAGGCGGATATACAGAGAGGAGAGACAGAGAGGAAGAACTTCCGTCCGATGATTCACTCCCCAAGTGAGCGCAACGGGCCGATACTATGCCGATCCGAAGCCAGGAGCCTCTTCTGGGTCTCCCACGTGGGTGCAGGGTCCCAAGGCTTTGGGCCATCCTCGACTGCTTTCCCGGGCCACAGGCAGGGAGCTGGAAGGGAAGCGGGGCTGCCGGGATCAGAACCGGTGCCCATATGGGATCCCGGGCGTGCAAGGCGAGGACTTAACCACTTGCGCCACCACGCCGGGCCCTATAAATAAAAATTCTGTGACTGTTAAAAAATTATAGATAGCGTTAATGTAAGTATATTCCAAATTGAAGAATGCATTTTTCATGACAATGAAGAGACATCCAAAGTAGAAGCATAACCCGCTTCTTGTTTCAGAAGATTGTGGTAGAATGAAATGATTAGAACACGCTTGGTGTCCTGACTACATGGTGGGTACACTGCATCGAATGTTCCAGCAGTATTTTCACTTCACAAACTGAGTGTAGGCTTGTGCCTAGCTTCCCACAGCTAAGGAGGGCTAGAAGTTTCTGTGAGAATTCCTCGGGCAGGTCGCGGAGGAGGAAGGTTGGGCTTGGAGCGTGTGTGGTCACAGTTCCCTGCTGCCCGCTGTGACAGCCCAGGCTTCTACCCTGAAGATGCCATCCTGGAAGGTTCCAACCTTCCCATGAGGCTGCTTCCTTGCAGT